TGGCATAAGGCCAGTTCCTAGGCGTTGTGTGCTTCTGGGAGCTGCCATAATTGCCTCTGTTCTTACCAGCATCTAGGTCAGCCTGTTCCAGGAGCTGAAAGCCACTGAGGCATTACGCCAACCTTTTCCCTGCTTTAGCCTTTCAGTGTTTCTTCCAAGGAAAGAGAAATTTGAATTCATCTTGTGTATATGCTGCTAATTTTTTTTAACCTAACAGTATCTTTCAGTTTTCTTGAGAGAGCCCCATTGTAAAAAGTACTTTTTAATAAGCAACTGTTTTAAAAAGGAAAGATCTTAAAGTGAGATCAAAATAGTCCTGACTGTTAGGCAGTGGTTTATGTAAAAAAAAAGACCCAAGTATGTTTAGTTAACCACAACTCAAGTCTAAGCTAGAATTAGAATAATCTTGGAAAACATTAACAGATGTGTATATTGTTCAAACTAGAGGTCCTCGTCCCCTTGTTTTGTGTTTCAGTTAAACAGAGTGTGATGCATCATTGTTCTGGTCTTGTAAGGCCTCAAGCTACTTACCGAGAGAGAAGTGCTTGAAATCTTTATATCCTCAGAGCCATTCAGCTCCAATTTTCTTTCAATCTAGGCTCAAGATATTGAAACTCTAAAGAAATTTCTTCTGAACAAAAAGCCTCATGTGGTGACAGTTGCAGGAGAGAACAGGTAGGGGCATCAGAGGATTGGGCCAGGCCTGGCTTGAAGTCACTCATCCTTTATTGTTGAATCTGCCACATGCCTACTACATAGTAGGCATGTGCCTGTGTAGAGCTTTTGTAATACCTTCATCCTCAGGGGATGTCCCTGGGGATATTGTACCTCTTTGTCTTCAAAACTCTCTCCTCCCCCATCCCAGCCATGAGATAGTTCATCCCTGAGAAACTATCCAGAAATAGCCCTGACCAGCACCCCTCATCCCTCCAGGGACGCCCAGATGTTGATTGAGGATGTAAAGCGCATTGTGCATGAGCTGGACCAGGGCCAACAGTTGTCCTCTATTGGGGTGGAGCTGATTGACAACGAGTTGGCCATTCTCTATATGAACAGCAAGAAATCAGAGGTAATGCTGGAGCCCCACCCTTAGGACCTACAGAGGCAAAAGTTATCAACCCCAGAGAGATAGGTAAACAAAAGTTATCAGGGGCACAGGACTGCACCTGTTTATTTACCTAAACAGAGACTCTCCATTGTGCCAGTCATGGTTTAGATTGGAAGCCCCAGAAATTAAATTGGTCCCAGGAAAAATGGTCCCAGAGAAGAGAAAGTGACTTAAAGCCGGATGGTTTAGATTTTCTCTTGCTATTTTTGCTGAGGGAACTTTATGGCCCCGCTGACCCTCGTTTGACTCTTAGGCAGAATTCCGGGATTACCCTCCAGTGCTGAGACAGGCCGTCTCCCTGGCCCGGCGCATCCAGGACCCTCTAATTGAATTTGCCCAGGTGTGCAGCTCTGATGAAGACATCCTGTGCCTCAAGTTTCACCCCTTGCAGGTGAGTAGGAGTTAACAGGTAGCCCCAGGTATGCAGAGTGGCACAGTAACCTTATCCCTACTTGCTGTGTGTTGACAGGAGCATGTGGTGAAAGAAGAGCTGCTCAATGCCTTGTACTGTGAATTTATCAACCGGGTCAACGAGGTTGGGGTCGATGTCAACCGTGCCATTGCCCACCCCTATAGCCAGGCCTTAATACAGTATGTCTGTGGCCTGGGACCTCGAAAAGGGACCCATCTCCTAAAGGTAGGATTGGGTTGACTCAGGGAAGAAAAGAAATTCCTATTCCATTGAGCCTTTACACTATGCCAGTATGCTTTGACAGAAAGACCAAGGTCAGAGGGGTAAAGGCACTTGTCCAGAGTCATCCAGCTCGTCAGAGTGAGAGTCAGACTTCAGACAGGGTGGGCA